CCCTGGTACACCCTGTCCTGGCCACAGCATTGGCTCCTGCCCCCCAAAGCCCAGAGCACCCTGAGGTGCTCAGCACCCTCGAGCCTGTCCCCTGGGTGCTGCTGAGCTCCTCCAGCAGCCAGAGGAGCATTGGGGCAAATGGCTCAGGTGCATTGCAGCCACACTGGCCTGAGCTGGGACAGGGAGGGGAGAAGCTGTTTACTGGGAGAGGAGCCACTAAAGTCACTCTCCTTCCCAGTCAGTAACTTACAGAGCAGCTGAAAGGGCCCTGGGGAACAGCTTGACACGGTGCTGTCTGCGCGCTCCAGAGGCAGAGGCTCCCCGGGCTGGCAGGGGCACAGGACGGGCTCCAGGGCTGCCTGGGGCCTGCCCTCACTGCAGCATCCCCGTCCTCACCTGGAAGGCCAGCCCATCCCCACGGGTGGCTTGCTGCAAGGGACACACAGCACTCACAGCCCTCCCTGCCAGGCCTGCAGGGCCACCAGCACCACCCGGGGCCCTGGCAGGGCTGCAGGGCTCAGCTCGTGCCCAGGGTGGAAACACAACCCCTGTGGGTGCAGCAGCTCCCTGCCTGTGCCCAGTTCCCCTACCTTGTTAATCTCCTTGTGTCTCTCCTTGCTGACGATTTCTTCCAGGACTTCCCCGTCCCCCTTAATGAGCCTGCAAGACAAACACAGGCCCAGGAGCCCTGAGGGTACTGGCCAGGTCCTGCAGCTGCAGAGGTGTGACCTGCTGTGCCCCAGCTCCCTCCAGGCAAGGCCAGCCCTGACCCACCCCCGACACTGCATTTTGGGACTTTGTTTTTGTGTCAAGCTTAAACAGCACAGCAGCTCTGCCATTGCTCCCGTGGGATTCATGTCACCACACTGCAGCAAGGACAGGAGTGCTCCCCTGAGAGCTGAGGGCCAGCTGGCTCTGCCCCAGGCTGTGGGCACTGCCTGCTGTGTGCAGTCAGTCACACTGGCACAGCAAACACTCCTAATGAAAGCATCCCCTACAATCCACAGTGCCTCAACCCATGCAAAACCTCTTCGTTTTTTCATAGAATTCAGGTGTGGTCCTGGCTGCCCCAGGAACCTGCAAAGCCATTCAGGAACAGGAACAGGAGCCAGTTTGGGCCTGAAATGCAGCCAGGCTGGGGAATATCTTGCTGAGCAAATTCCAAGCAGCGTTGGAGGCGGCTCACACCTCCAGACATGAGCAGGAATTTAATTGTCTTCATTACGTGCCTTACAGGGAACCGACCTTTGTTCCACACCTCCCTGAGCCCTGCAGGCTGCCTGCTATTTTAAGACTGGACTTGTCATACCCAATTCTCCTCAGCATGACGTTTTCTGGTTGCTGAGAAGATGCAGTTTATTAAAAACTGGGTCATTTCTATTTGGCAGCTAAATGAATTTGGGTTTGATCGCTGTCTGTAACCCCACAGGGCACATGCTCCTCACTCCCACCCGGGTGTTAGCAGGGCCCAGGGCTTTGGAGCTGAAAGGTGAGTGGATGCAGCAATGGGATACTGGGACACAGCCCAGAGTGCCTTGTGTGCACCCAGTTCAATGCTTTGGTGTCACTGTGTCACTTTCTGGGTACGTCACACCAGGCCTGATGAGGAGGGAGCTGTGAGGGGTTGGCTCAGGCTGAAGGGGTTCAGGTGTGGTGCTGCAGTGCCATGGACAGGCATCCCCCAGCCCACCCAGCCTGCATGGGAATCTCCCATCTCCCTGTTCCCAGGGCCATACCTGGTTCTCCCTGTCTCGGGATCCAGCACTCTCCTGATGACGCTCTGCCTGGCATCCCACTCCTCCTTCGTCATTGGCTTCATGGCCTGGATCCGGGACTTCTGCTCGTCTGTCAGAGCTGGGTGCAGGGCTCAGTCAGAGCTGTGCTCCAGGAGGGGGCACAGCACCAGGGCTGCAGCCCATGGACAACATTCCACACCCCATTCCCAGGTGGGAATTTGGAGCAGCTTTGCCAGGATTTACTGCTGACTGTGTCCTTCCATTTGGCCTCTGTTCCCCACTATAAACCACATCCTGACACTTTACAAACCAATCTCTGTGTGGCTCAAAGGTGGGCACTGTTCACAGGAGGGAAGGGAGCCAGGGGCTCCTCCCTGCACCCAGCCCTGCCTCCCTCAGACACTGCACATGGAAAGGGCCCAGCACAGGCTCCCCCAGGAGGGAAAGAGCTTCGTTACCTGGCCCAGAGTCCACCACTGACTCCTTCTGCCACTGCTCCAGTGAGGGGCCAGGCACCTCTTCTGTCTTGGCTTTCTCCTCCTTGGCCTTCTCCTTTGCCTTCTTCTTTGATTTCTTCTTTATTTTTTTCTTCTTCTTCTTCCTCTTCTTTTTGTCTTTCTGTTTCACTCGCTTTTTTTTGCTGTCTTGACTCTTCTTCGCTTTGGAGTCGCTGTCACTGGAGTCATCAGAAGAGGAGCTGGAGGAAGAGGAAGATGAGGAAGAGCTGGTGGACGAAGACGTCCCAGAGGGAGAGGTACTGGCCTTCCTCTTCTTTTTGTCCTTTCCTTCCTTCTTCTTTTCTGCAATTCACAAGAAGAGGGTGAGAGGAGCAGCCCTGGCCCTGCAGAGCAGAGATGTTGTTCTTTATCCCCCTCCCAGCCTGGACTCTTTCCTGCCTGGAACTCCCCTCTGTGCCCACGTTAACCCAGGATGCTCTGTGGTACCAGGGCAGCTCATGGGGGGGCTGAGGGCTCTGAACTTGTCAGAACGAGACCAAAGTGGGCACAAAGTGCAGGACAAAGTGACAGACACCAACTGAAACCAGGGACCCTCTTCTCCCCCTGGGCCCTCTCTGTGGCCCTGCCCCAGGGACATGTGGTGAAAGCAAAGGCTCAGGGGCCTTCCCACCTTCCCTGGCTGCTGCCAGGCTGGAGCTGTGTCCATGAGAGCCAGAGATCCTCTTCCTCGATGGAGAGCTGCTGCCCTGCTGCGAGTCCTTGCTGCTCTTCCTCCTTTTCTTCTCCTTCCTCTCCTGCCTGCTCCGGGAGCCGCTTCTGCTCCGGCTCCGCGAGCGCTTCCGCGAGCGCCCGTGGGCCATGGCAGCTCCTGGGGAAAGGAGGGGTCACATCAGAGCCACGGGGCACCAACCCTGCCTTCAGCCCCAAATCCTTCACTGCACTCTGAGCCAGCAGCCAGGCAAACCTGCTCCAGGTGAACTCCTCCCTGCTCACACCCTGCTGATCCCCCATCACAGCCTTGGGAATCCCACCAGCCCCCAACACGGAGCCTGGGCAGGGAGCTGGCACAGGGACAGCCCTCAGCTGCCTCACACCAGTGTCCCCAGGCAGGTTTCCCACCAGGAAATCCTTCAGCCCTTCCAGCAGCTTTTCCCTGTGCTCCTGCTGTTTGTCCCTGGAGGACTGGGCTGACCCCGCTGGGGCAGGCACGGAGCAGGGCTGTGCCTGTGGTCACCCCATGGTCACCCCATGGTCACCCTATGGTCACCCCATGGTCACTCCGTGGTCACCCCGTGGCACCAGGAGCCAGCAGGAGAAGCTGCACCACAGATGGACACAGGCAAGGGCTGATGGACATTGCAGCCACAGTCAGCAGAACAAAATGTCCTCCCTGAGTCAATCCCCTGTTACTTAAAATGCTGTGAGCAGGCACAAGCCAAGGGGAAGGATGAATTTTTAATGTTCCAATTTACTCTTAGAAAACAGATGATGCACTGAGCTGCTCCCCCTGTCCATCAGCCCCAGGGATGCCAGCGGCCCCAGGCCAGTGTGATCCATGCTCTCATTAATTTAAAAACAAACTGGCACCGTGGGCAGAGCAGGAGCTGGGAACGCTTTCTCACAGCCACCTTCCAACCAGCACATTTAATGAATTGTTTGTTTACCACCTCAACATTCCCAGGCAGCAATTTGGATTTGCTCCCGAGCAAATCAGACCTTTGATTGATTTCCATATGGAAATTTCAATCAGGGAAAAAATGCAGAACCAATGAGAGCCATTAGGGGCACGCAGGGAAGGATGAGAGGATGAGAGTCCTCCATGCACACACAGCCAGAGGCTGCCCCTTGCACGGGGCCTTGATGGGGCAGCGTTTGGGACTTGGATCTTTTCATTCTGGCTGTGGCAGCAGGAAAAACCCA